CTTCTCCTCCTCCTTCTCCTCCTCCTTCTGGTGCTGGTGCTTTTATTCGCTCTCCTCCTTTTCCTTACTGGGGGCTTCTACGGCGTTTTAAGCGGTGGTGCTTGGTGTCGCATTACGATCTATCTTGTGGTGTTTGGCATGGTTAGGCCAGTGGCCTCTGCCGTAACACTATGAGATACTTGATTCTGCAGATTGCATGCCCGGGGAAGGATCATGGCATTCTTGGTGTTGCGTAGAGGTCCTGTGGTGTTTAGTTTGATTTATTCGGTCTCTGTGGGCCGACTCGGAGAGCTGTCCAAAAAAAAAAAAAAGACGAATGTGGGTGTGGTCTGTGCTTTCTTTTCTTGTTAGGGGAGCCTTGGTTTGCAGTGCAACTAATGGGTTTGTGTTTTCGCCCTTTTCGCCCTTTTGAGGTAGTTATTGCCATTTGTTAAGTATGTTGCCTTTTGCGCTCCCCTCTGCTGTCCTTTTGCAGATGATAAAATATATACAGTTTTGCAAGTGTGCCGCTGAGCTGGCAAACGGGTGTGTGGGGACTTGCTCTGCTTAACAACACAAACATGTCCTACCTTGCATCTTCTATTATACACCTTCTTACTTTCTCTGTTTTATGGATGTTTTAATAGTTTTATGGATGACTCTTTTTTTTCTTCTTTTTTTTTTTTTGAACACCCATAAAAAACAGCTACCGTCTTCACCCGAATATAAGGCCCGGTCATTATCGCTGCATGTGGACCGAACGTTGTCCCAAATACCAAATATAGCTTATAATGACCGGGCTTTCTATAAAGACGGTAGGGATAATGATAAGAGCACGTACCCCTAGCTATATTCATAGGTGGCTCCGGTCTATGAGCGGGGAGCGTCACGTGCTGGAAACTGGGTGTGGATGGAATGAGGAGAGAGTTTGGGGTTTTTCAACACCGCACAACATACGTGTGCAGAAACATGCTCCATCGTCTGCAATCGAGCTAAAGAGTTGCTAAAGGGTGGAACAGGGGTTGTTGTGGCGAATATTAAAAAACACATGTCGGGAGCTCCATCTAATGTGTGGGCATCTCCTCTTGACAGTCCTTTTCCCTAGTTCCGTTGGCATCGGCGGCTTCGGATTTCCAGAAAGCCAGGTCGCCGTGGGCAGCACGCCAACCCCGGGAATGATCTGTGTTTGCTTTATCTCGAGCAGCTCACGCAAAGAAACAGAAAGCATTCAAAAGGCTCAGGGTTCCTTCGGCCAAACAGAAGGAAGCGTGAGTGAGTTTTCATTGTAATGTATATTTTGGCTTGCCGGTGGAATAGGAACCGGACTGACGCTCCCCAGAATAGAACGGAGCCGGGACCATAAGGAGGCTGGACCATTCAAAGGGGTTAGTGATGGGCTGTTTGGTTACTCCCTCACAAAGTCTCATCAGGAGGCTGGACCCTCAGCAGCAGTCTGCGGCACCTCCGGTTCGTGCTTCTAGTCTCTGTTGGGAGTATGTAGGTCGCAGACGGCAATGGAAAGAGCAAGGCAACAGTAAAAGGCAGCATCGATTCAAACAGGTGGGTGGAGGCAGAGGCAAATGCAGCTGCGGTGTTCACCCGAATACAACACCCGGTCATTTGCACCGCATGTGGACTGGAAGTTGCTTCAGATGCAGCTACCATAATGACTGGGCGTTCTATTCAGGTGAAGACGGTAGTTGGGGGACAGCAAGCTACACGGCTTGGCAAGTGTGTGGGCGGATAACAAGGTCGGCACCAACACAACAGGTAAGGAGGCAGGTGGAGAGCAAGGGAGGTAGCAACGTAACGCAAGCGGGTAGCTGGGCTGGCAGCTAGGCAGGCAGCTAGGCAGGCAGCGAAGCAGGCAGCTGGGCAGGCAGCTGGGCAGGCCCCAAGCAGGCAGCTGGGCAAGCAGCATGCCAAATAATGATGCAACAAGGCAGGCAGACGAGCAAAAAGCAAGACAACCGGGCAGGCGGGCAGGCATCAGGGCAGCCAGCAAGGCAAGCTGGCTGCAAGCAGGAAGCTGGTGTAAGAAACTGCCAGTACTATTGAGACACTTCTTGGGGATGCTGATGTTCTTCCACGCACCGAGTTTTGCCGAACCCGTCGGTGAGTCGCTTCTCGGTGATGCTGATGTTCTGCCACGCACCGAGTTTTGTCGAACCCATCCGTGAGTCGCTTCTTGGTGATGCGGATGTTCTGCCACGCACCGAGTTTTGTCGATTCCTCTATGCAGCCACGAAATCAAAAATAAAAAAACAAATGGGCAGTGGCGAGGTTGCCCATAATGATTTCGTTCTTGGCCCCGAAAGAAGCATATTGACGGCCACATCAAAACAAGAATGACCGGTAAAGATACTGATGGTCTTAAGTGCCAAACCCCGTCGGGTCGAAATTCACGCTTTTAGACAAAGTGAACCTACAGTCGTCGCCCAAATAGAACGGCCGGTCATTATTGCTCTGAACGTGGACAGAAAGTTGGACCAAATACGGCTATAATTGCGTGGCGTTCTTATTCCGTTGAAGATGGTAGTCAGAGAAAAGAGTCAAATTCCTGCTGCTTTTCCGTACTAGGCGGAACTCGCACTAGTGCAGGGCCAACTGTCCATGTCAGATTCTTCGCCGGGTTAACCAATGCAGGGGCGAGATCCCAACCAATTCTGCACACCATACTCACATAGCGGCATCTGTTAAATCGTGATGACGATTTGATGGATATGAAGTATTATAAACCGAAAAAAAAAAACAAAAAAAAAACGACCACTATGGAACACCCACCATTCTGCGGATGGCTTTTGAATCAGGAATGAACAGAACCAGATGCCAGCAGCAGGCCCGTATTTCCAGACCCCGGCACATTTTGAAAAAACAAAACACGTCAGCCGCCCGGGCCAGATCCCAGGTATGGGCGGCAGACCGTTTTTGCCGCTTGGTCAAGCTGTCAAACTGGGGGGGATCGATCTGGCAGCCTCATTGCACAAGACTGGGCTGAAGATTCGGTGGAATTTTAATTCGACCAAATCTAGCAAAAAGTGGCGGCGAGATTTATCTCCAACTGGCAGTAATGATGACGCCAGCTGGGGAAATCACTCCACAAGGGGGAGGGAGGGACGGGGTGGGGCATACAGGGGTGCATGCTCATTGCTCTGCTCTCTCTCACACCTGCCTGTGAAGGCAACAGACACACACAGAGAGAGAGAGAGAGAGAGAGAGAGAGAGAGAGAGAGAGAGAGAGAGAGAGAGAGAGAGAGAGAGAGAGCGAGAGATTCCCCCCCCCTCCACCCACCATCAGCACGCTTGGACCTGTGATTACTGCCGTGTGGGGATTGATCTGGCTGCCATATTGCGACAGATTCAGTCCAATTAGAATTTGGCCGAATCTTGCGCAATGTGGCAGTTAGATTCACCTAAAGGTTCAGGAAAAGAAAAAGAAGGGCCTGCCGGTGTCACCGAAGTGTATTTTTAAATTCTGTGGAAAACTTCTGCGGAAAACCTTGTGCGGAAAACTTCGTTGCCAAAACAAAAAAAACAAAACAAAAAAAACTTCGTTGTCAGCCTGAGGTGGTTTTACATTTGAAAGACCTGACAGTGTGAGAAAAGTTTGTTGTTGTTGTTGTTGTTTTTTTTTTTTTTTTTTTTTTT